TCTATTTTGAAATTTTAATTCAAATTGGATGTGATTAAATGTTTCCTAAATCCTTAAGTCTAAATTAGAAAATCAAATCTTCTCATTAATTCCCTCACCCAGGTTCCCGCCGGCTCCCCTCTGGCCAAGGAGGAAAGTATTTCCTAATTGCCTATTAGCCCACTTTGGAAAATTTTCAAATTCTCCCTTCATTACTCAGCCGAAACTCTTCCACTGTATTAAGTATTTAATTTCCTAAAGTTAATGCATTGATTTAGGAAATTAATTCCCTCTCCCGTGGATCAACCCGCCCCCTTCCCCCTCCTGCTCCTGGGCGTGCGTTACCTGGACCGATCCTTCCCTCTCCTCAACAGCTCACTTCCTCTTTTCACGCCAAGCCATTGAATTGCCTTAGATTCCCTTCTTCCCAATACCACCTGTGCATTGAAAATCTGAGAATTATCTCAGATTTCTAAAGCAAAATCTGAGCTCAAAGTGAGATGTTGATGGCAACCCTTGGAAGAAGAACCTTACCCATTTATTAGAGAAACTTCCTTCTCTACAATAAGGATCGAGATTGCTGACGTCAAGTGGAAGATCTCCGCGTCTCCTTGAGCAAAGGTTTTGTCCTTCTACACTCGCATTCAAAGTCTTCTAAAGTCTAAATTCTCAATGGGTTTGATTGTATTCATAAAGGCTCCTCCAAGTGCTCTTGCTAAGCTTAGACATTCGTAGGAATTGAGCGTGCCGTCTATGCATCCTACGTCTCGTTGTTAGATTAGGGATTTAATTTGAAAACTACTATTCGGTATTGTTTTTATTTTCTCAATTATCTTGATAGTTCAAATTCGGAGCATGTGATTTCGCCTACGCAATTGATCGCTTCATTTGTCTTAATCGTCGTTTGAAGATTGCTTATAATTTTGTTCTGAAATTATTCTAATTCAATAGTTGTGCAATGCTCAAATGAAACCATAACCATAGCATCTAAAGTAGTCCTGCATCATCTGGTATCAGAGCATGGT